GGAGGAGGGAGGGAACGGATGAGGGGAGCGACACTCTACATTACTGTGCCCAGCATATCTTTAGCTTGTACAGTGCATAGAGAATTATCTGATTCGCGGTTAACTTACCCGGCCACTCACGTCGCCATGGCGATTCTATGTCACACAGTGCGCAGCGCATCTTCCGAGAGGCCCTTAGCGACCCCGCACTGAGGCTGCGAGTCGTTAGCAACATGTCGCCGTCGCTGCCACGCAAGATCTCCCGCAAGCAGCCGCCGCCGGTCGCTCCCAAGCCGCCTGTCACGTACGTATCCATGGTAACGGTCGCCTGCGGTCGGCAAGCTGCCATGACAGAGTAAGATGTAACTATTGTTCTCTACTCTTCTTCATGTCATTATAGTGATGTGTAGTTGATGTGTTGCTATCAAGTGGTTATTGGTAGGTTATCATACATCACGTACGTATGTCGTCATTGCGGTGTGAGCTCTGCTGCCCACGCGTGCATGCGTGCGTGCGTGCGTGCGTGCGTGCGTGCGTGCGTGCATGCGTGTGTGTGTGTGCGCGTGTGTAACAGCTATCACTTGTGTTACCTGCAGCGAGAGGGACGACGTGGGCGGACTGACGCCCTCCAAGCTGATGGAAGCAGGCGTGGTCGCGTCGCCGGGGCGTGGCAGCCCCCCGCCGAAACCCGCGCGCCTGCACGACCGCCAGGACATCATGCACCCGACGAACACACGCAAGATCGGCCGCAAGATACGCATCCAGCTGCTGAAAGGTAGGGACGAGGTACCCTGAGACACTGCAGGCTGGCTGTGGGTAGGATAGTGGCAGAGGTAGCGGGTCAGCAGCACAGGGTAATGCTGTAGGTAGCAGGGTAGCACAGGGTAATGCTGTAGGTAGCCGGGTAGGCACAGGTAGATGGCTGTAGGTTAGAGGGGTACTACGAGGGTAATCTGTAGGTAGCAGGAGTAGCACAGGGTATATGCTGTAGGAGGGGGCAGATTAGGCACAGGGTTAATGCTGTATGGGTAGGGCAGGGTGTAGCTACAGGCATGGCTTGAAGCTTAACGCTAAATAATTGTCACATAGCGCCAGCAGGGCTAGTGACCTGTACAAATCTACTGCGGCCTAAAATATCTTACAGTCCCTTAGTTAGCTGAAGTGGCTGGCGCTGAAGCTACTGTGAGCAGTTTTGCCCTTTCCTGGGTCTGGTGTTGATTTGGACGCTCTGAGCAGCATTCTGCGAAATTCTTTAGACTTGTAGAAATTCTAGATCAGTATAGATTCAGTATATCACATTAGTACGATGTTATACAGCCGGGCAGAATAATTATTATTCCTTATAGTAATTCATCGATTAGAATCTAGTTAGTCAGTTTAATCTGAAATGTGAAAGTTCATTGTTTAAGTTTGAACCGTTTGTGATGCTATCATCTAACACAAGTACAGAGATTGTTAGTAGTTAGTAACATAGTACAGTATAAAGTTATAAGTTGAGTTATCGTGTTTGTGATAGGTTTAAGAATTTGCAGAAGCTTGTATTCAATTATATTAGTTGACTTTGAATGATAAGCCAACATAGAAGCACGTGTTTATGCTATAAGTGTTAGGATGAACTTCCGTATAAGAAAAGCTAGAATACTCCAGTTACAAGGAAGTAGGTTTAAAGGTATATATCGGGTTATTTTCATAAACAGTACCCTGACAAGAACCATGACTAATTCCACGTCAATCTATAGACAACGAGAGACTGATTGTATATTAGCTCAGGGGTGATTCCAACGAGTATAAGTAAATTTTGAGTTTTCTAAAATTTGCTCAAATGTAGCCAAACATCAAATTGAAAAGCATCCTTTTCGTTGGAAAAGGAGGGATTCGTAGGTGTTAACCCCTGAGATCAAGCTGAATCAGTAAAACTAACCGTTCCACGAAATAAACAGAAAGAGAACAGAAATCGTATTGGCGTACAATACACTGGAGGGAATTAAATGGTGTTATCGTAGTGAATTCTACAGGTACCTAATATGGCAGTCGTTCTAGCATCGTGAACTGTTGTATGTTTAGGTTTTGCAATTTTATTATGTTGCATCACGCAAGCTTTTATACTACTTGATGTACTTAGTTCGGTCGGGTTAGTAGTTGCTGAAGAAGTTACTAGTAATATGTTTATTCGTGTAGGCATTCCCACTCGCCAACAGGGCGGTCAGCCCAGACATTCATGCTAGGCACTTGTACTTGATTTCTAACTACGCTCGGCGAGCGGCGAGCGTTATTGCAGCGCCTGACAGGTAATTGCTGGTAGGTAGTTGCAGGCGGTAGCACAGGGTAATGGCTGTAGGGAGCAGGTACCACCAAGGGTAATAATGCTGTAGGGTAGCTGGGTATGGTCACAGTAATGCTGCTAGGTAGGCAGGACTATCGCAGTGGTATAGTGCTTGTCAGGTACGGGCTAGGGTAGCACACGGGGTTAATGCTGTAGTTAGCAGGACGCACACAGGTAATTGCTGTAGGTATGCAGGGTGAAGCAGCAGGGTAATGCTGCTGTAGGTAGCAGAGTTTCAGCACAGGGTAAGCTGTAAGGTAGCAGGACGCACACAGGGTGAATGCTGTAGGCTAGCAGGACGCACACAGGGTAAATTGCTGTAGGGTAGCAAGAGTAACACCAAGTGTACTGCGTATGGTAGGGCAGGAGTAGCAACAAGAGTAATGGCTGTAGATAGCAGGAGCGGCACACAGGGTAATGGCTGGTAGGTAGCAGGAGTAAGCACAGGGTAATGGTAGTAGGAGGACCACACCAGGGTAATGGCTGTAGGTAGCAGGACCACAAGGGTAATGCTGTAGGTAGCAGGACGGCAGTACAGGGTAATGCTGTAGGTAGGCTAGGACCACACAAGGGTAATGTCCTGTATGTAGCAGGGAGTAGCACAGGGTAATGCGCCTGTAGGTAGGCAGTGTAGCCACAGAGTGATCGCTGTAGGTACAGACCAGCACAGGGTAATGCCTGTAGGTTACGGCAGGTAGCAGCAGGGGTATATTGCTGTAGGAGCAGGACCACATCAGGGTGAAGCTGTAGGTAGCAGATAGGCAACAGGTAATGTACTGTAGGTAGCAGGGTAGCACAGGGTAATCTGTAGGTAGCCGGGTAGCAAGTGTAATGGCTGTAGGTAGCAGAGTAGCTACAGGGTAATGCTGTAAGTAGCAGGTAAGCACAGGTAATGCTGTAGGTAGCCAGGGCCACACCGGGTTAATGCTGTAGTACTAGGTAGGCACAGGAATGCGTACGGTAGCAGGAGCCACACCAGGGTTAATGCTGTAGGTAGCAGGACGCACACAGGTAATGCTGTAGTACAGGAGTAGTCTACAGGGAATAGCTGTAGGTAGCAGGGTAGCAGGCAGGGAATGCTGTAGGGTAGCCGGGTAGCACAGTGTAATGCTGTAGGTAGCAGGAAGTAGCACAGGTAACGCTGTAAGGTACCGGGTAGCACAGGTAATGCGTGTAGGTAGCAGGGTAGCACAGGGTAAGCTCGTAGGTAGCAGGGTAGGCACAGGGTGATGCTGGGAGGATGACAGGAGTAGCAGCGGGTGATGCTGGGGTGGGAGGAGTAGCAGCGGGTGATGCTGTAGGTAGCAGGGGTAGCACAGGGTAATGCTGTAGGTAGCAGGACCACACAGGGTAATGCTGTAGGTAGCAGGAGTAGCACAGGTAATCGCTGTAGGTAGGGCAGACACACAGGGTAAGTGGCTGTAGGTAGCAGGGCCATACAGGGTAATGCTGTGAAAGGTAGCAGCGGCCACACAGGGTAATGCTGTAGGTAGCAGGACCACACAGGGTAATGCTGTAGGTAGCAGGACCACACAGGGTAATGCTGTAGGTAGCAGGACCACACAGGGTAATGCTGTAGGTAGCAGGGTAGCACAGGGTAATGCTGTAGGTAGCAGGAGTAGCACATGGGATAATCTGTAGTATGCAGGGAATAGCAGCAGGGTAATGCTGTAGGTAGCAGAGCTAGCAGCAGGGTAATGCTGGTACGGTAGGCAGGACAGCACCAGGGTAAGGCTTCGGGTAGGTAGGCAGGAGCACACCAGGGTAATCGCTGTCAGGTACCAGGACCACCACAGGTAATGCTGTAGTAGCAGGAACAACACAGGTGTATATGCTGTAGGTAGGCAGACGCACACAGGGTAATGCTGTTATGGTAGCAGGGTAGACAGGTAATGCGTCCCGGTAGGCAGGAGTAGCACAGGTAATGCTGTAGGTAGCAGGGTAGCACAACGGTAAGGCTGTAGGTAGCAGGCCCACCAGCAGGTAACTGCTGTACGGTAGCAGGGTAGCACAGGGTAATGCTGTAGTAGCAGGAGTAGCAGCAGGGTAAGTGCTTGTACGGTAGCGAGGTAGCACAGGGTAATGCTGTACGTAGCAGGGGAGCACAGGTAACTGTAGGTAGGCAGGACCACACAGGGTAATGCTGCAGGTACGCAGGCGTACAGCAGGGGTAATGTCTGTAGTAGCAGGGTAGCACAGCGGTAAGCGTAAGGTAGGCAGGT